GTTTTTTAGTACTGTGGGATTACAATGTAAAAACAAAATAAATAACGAATACAAATTAAAGTAATGACATACCGTAAGAGTAAATATACATAGGTTAGGTTATATACGTTTCTTACTATTACATACTAATTGCCGACGATTAATATTAATATTACCGTGTAACTATTATAATGTATTAAATGCATTTTGTTTTACATGTGTTATTACCTTGTCCTTCTCACATTTGTTTGTATAATAATAATACATTTTACGACGTTTAGTTTTTAGTTACTCTAAATCCACTGTGTATATAATAAAATATTGTATACATTATGTATTTTAATTGTTTACTTAATTAATTACAGTTGATTAATGACGTGCGTGGTATGTAAATAATAAGTATATTACATACTGTAACGGTCGTCTAAAATAATAATACGCAATTATGTGATATTGAACTAAGTCAATAATGTAATATATTATTATTACCTATTAGAATGCCGTTCGCTGTTATTTAAACACTATTTACCGATAATTAGGTCCTGAACTGAGCTGCCTGATGCGGATAGGATGATTGGTCGGTGGTGACTTCAGGATGTTGGTGATTTGCATTAGACTGTCGTTGTTTTCGTAGACGATGGTGAAGCTTTTCCAGTCGACGGCAATGATAATATCGATTAATGCCTGCCACATAGGGACACGGAAACGCACCGTATTTTTTTAGAGTCATTATACGTGTACCTATATTACGATTATCAATGGAGTATTTGCGGGGCACTTACCACCCAGACATTTTTGTAGGTGAAAGGTATTGGTTTGCCTACMCATGATAATCCAATTATATAAATTTTTGAATCTACTTGAGTTAAGAAAGGATGCATTTAGCATACTAAAATATTAAAATATTTTTTCCTCAAACCACTTTAATAAACTTAAATTTATTTGTTTTAGATTTCTCTTGCGGGTTTTAATGAGATAATTGATGAATTTGTTGAAAATAAAGTAGGATCCAGGAGGTAATAAAATAATTATATTAAAACAATAACATATCTATTCTTTTATATATTTTTTAASTTTTAAATATTTCTAAGTAATTAAATTATTTTCGGTTATAGTTTATTATTCCCTAAGTATAAAATATGTGTAAATAATATTTATACAACTTACTTTTCAAACTACTTATGGCATTTTTTTTATCAATGAACTCTTATGTTGCTAGGTACTTAAAACTAACTAACAATAGGTATGTGTACCCAATACCTGCTACACCAACTATTTGTTTCTAAACCATAAAGTTAGTTTTGAGATTAAACCGTGGGAGGGGGTCAAGGTTTTGAAGACGGCGAATCAATTATATTGTCTCTCCCCCTAGATTTTTATCCACTGTTATTTATGCTGTTGGTATACACGTTTCAGCTTAATATCCAGATTCCCACGACTAGTGTATTTGGCGAATATTCGCCATTTGTCGATACTCGCGTCATGTTGGGGAGACAGAATAGGCATATGAACAAATATTCGGTAATTTCTTATCGTGCATACGCCACATTAACGCGAATAGTCAGTTAAGTGACAAGAATATAAGAAATATATTACATATTTTCACAACTTATGCGGAGACTGCGAATGCTTTATTCTGATTAGTTAGGTAATTCGACATTTATTCGAACATTCGAATAAGATATATTWATTAATTTTTATAATAGTCGTGGGGACCTGGCTTTAGTTATAGGTATCATAATAAAACAATCACTTTGGCCAAAGTGCTCGGGTGAGGGTACAGATTAATTTGACAAGACCCTCGTTTCTGGTTGATGTCCCATCGGGTCTGTATGTGAGGGATTTCCTTGTAGTCGCAAATCGATTGCACGATGGGAGCTGTGTCTCCGGCGGACGGGCCGAACATGCCGCTCACGCCCTCAGTGAGCATCTCGCATACTTAGAACGATAGTAAACAAAAACAAAAACATTATAACCTGTAAAAAAAATACAGCATAAGTCATAAGCTTACCATGATGTTGGGTCTCAAACGAATCGTAAAGAGGCACTGTCTTGCTGATGACATCCAACTGAACACCGCTGGAAATCATTTTGGCCTTTGCGACGTCCACGGAAGACTTGAAAGCCGTCTCCAGCATCGAGTTTTCCTCGTTGTACAAAATTCCTAAAGATATTTTTATAATATAACCATAATATTAAAGTTTGTGTGTATGTAGTCAGTGTTTTAAAAAACCCCATTTGACAGATATCCGGTTTTCAAGCCCTTTGGGTCATTTTGGATAACACATAACGATGAATCTAACGATAAAACTTTTAAAGGAAAGTTTGTATTTATTTACATGATAAAAGCTCAAAGTTTAACGAAACTTTTTACCCTGTAAGGCAGGAACGTAGGTATATAGTTAAAAAGACTATAAATCGTTTTCGGTTTGTGTTTTGCTTATTAATTATTATGTTTGGACAGTTTAGTAAGTATTCACAAACCAGACAAACAAAACAATACTTAGTAAATATATTATATAGTAAAATAAAAATAATTTTATAAATTCGAATTACGATAGAATAATAACATTACTTGAAATTCAATTATTTTTAACCCATTGCATACAATTAGAAACCCACTCACACACAATAATACATCGTACAATATTTTTATGTGAGTTTTGAAGTTGTTGAATGAATAATGATGATGGGTAGGTAATAATATTGAATATAAATATGCTATAATAATAACAGTATTATGGTTTTCATGCGGAATATTGATGCAAGATGTGTCACAATGTGAACAATATTATTTAAATTAATCATACAGGGTCATTCCAGGAATCGTTTTAAAACTAAAATCCCCCCTCCCCCGTCTGCTGTATGAGTTCATAGTTATATATTTAGGTGCTGTACACAATGCACGTGCGTAGGTATATTCACACAACTGCAGTCATTCTCTTATCTTAGACCATATAGTACCTATCATATAATAACATATAATTTGCATATATATAATATGTAAAAACTTAAAAAAATAAATAATATTTCGTTCTCACCAAGAGTGATCGTCGTGTCGCCGGCACATCGTTTACTACCGGCCAAAATCAAAACGAACGACGTCAATAAACCAACGATCACGTTCATTGTCCGGGGACAGAGTAAGTAAAGAGCGAAAAAAATTCACCGCGATTAGTATCGCGTCGACGGAAGTGCATATATACGCATGAATTAAATATTTTGTTCCTGTCTGGCGGAAACTCGTGACACTCGTACGCTATGCTATGGTATCAAATTTGATCCGGCAGACGATCGCGCACTACTGTTAAGACATTATTTTGTATTATATGGATCGTGTATCTGCCCCCCCCCACATCCAAGCGTGTATTTCACGAATATTTCTGGCACGGTTTTCGGTATTATTTTTAGTCCAGGAAGAGGCTTGCAGCAGCGCGGACCGCGGGAGACGGACGTTTCAGGCGACGCGTTTCATCCAAACAAAGACCGAGGTTTATGTCTGAGAAAGTTGTACCGTTCAAATATTTTAAATTATAACAATAACTTTTGTCGAAATTCATTTGTGGCCCCGGAGCGGTACGCTGTATAGGAATGTGTTTCATGATATATTAAAAATCTCTATAATATTATATTACGTTTTCCAGATCAATATTTTACTCATTTATATTATAACAACTATAGCTGATCCTGCACAGCGTTGACCGCGTTAAATGAAATGCTCGAGGAATAACACCTTCTTAAACTCCGTTAAAATAATATGTTAACTTTCAAAGATATTCAACACAGCTAGATACGTTGTTATGGTAATAGAACAATAATAAAATGTTATGGTTAAATTACATTTTATTTTTTTTTATTTTGATAACAATTATGTAGGTTTAGTATCAATCTAGGAAATCATCTTTTATTGGTTCTAGGAATAATAAATGAAATAAACCTATACCTAATAAAAAAAAAATTCCATTGAACATACATTTTTATWAAAATKTAGTTAAAATCTGACATGATTGACAAAATGAATATATAAGTTATTTTTTCAGATAATGTACTACTTTGAATAGAAGCTTTGATGTATCTCACTATGTTTACAATTATTTACTTTTGATATTATTGAAAAACAAAGTTTTTAGTAAAATGTGAAAGATTTTTTCGATTTGAAGAGGAACTGGAATTTAAAAATAACAAAGTTAAATTATAAATATCTACTAACATTATTTCAGTAGAGCAGTTGGTAGCGAACTATACTTAAACATTTTTTATTAGGTTTATACATATCACACTTTTTTTACATATTATGGATGCCCATCAGGAAATTATAAAAAAAGACTAACAAAAAGGTTGGGTTAACAAATAACAATCTGGATAATATACGTAATAAATCTTGTTTAAAAAATAATAAGATAAATTATTTTCAATCTTAAACAAATATGATATCCAACTTATATTAACAAGCTATACTGAAACATTTAAAACATAGATAATTGATAAAAAATAAAATTATTTTTAGTAGCAATTGKATCTTGATGGTGTTCTGGAGAATCGAAGTAAAATACCTAATTTTAAAAGTAATCCTTAAAAACAAGAAATACATGACGTGTATTCCATGGTCTATGGAAATACGGACATTTACATGATAAATCAATTTTTGACTAAATCGATTTTGATTTTTTTTTTTTTATCTAAGAAATGAAAAATTGTAGTCTTTAAATTCTTACCAAATATTCATTTTTTATCTATCAACAGGTATTGGTTTGTCAATTGAATTACAATTGATATCTACTTGGAACGTTCAGCATCAATAATTATATAACTATTACTATAGTCACTTATGATGAGATTTATTTAAGTCAAATGAAACAATTAATAATAGAAACACAGTTTTATTATTTTTTATTTTGTTGATAATTATATTTGAGTATACAGTACTCAGTACAAATAACAAATACAATAACATTATAAATCATAATCGACAATAACGCAGGATTTCAAAGCCTAGATACTATATATATTATATACATAAGATATATATTTTATATATGTATATTAATATATGCGTTACAAAATTGGAATGTATTCATTGCAATATAAAACGTTTTAATAGAAATGAATTACAGAACCGTAAATTGTACATTATAAGACTTTTAAAATATAGTCAAATTTTAAATTTTAAAAATTGAATAAAAAAAACTTTTTTAAAACAATAAAAATAAAATGCCATATTTTAACGTCAAGGATTTTATCAATATCCACTATTTATACCTTTATAGTTGAAATTAATATCCTACTGTTGGTGTATTATTATGTACTACTATACGAATGTGTTAATTAAGAGTACAATGTAATATTATATGCTTTAGTCTAAGATAAATATTGCTSAAATCATAATAACAAATACGTTGAAATATTTAAAAAAAAATCGATCAACTATAATTAATAAACATTAATAGTTTGACGTTTTATTGATGTTGCAATATTATAGTCGAATTTAAGATTCCAGAACTTAACACGATTTTATTGCTCATTTTCTATACTTCGTATGGTATTTAATGATCTGAAACGAAAAACAAAATTTTACAATTGGTAGGTACATATACCTATTTTTTTATCGTTTAATTATTTCTTACCCTCTCTTCGACTGCTATTTTTCTAGACTTCCATACGAATTCAAACACGGCAACTACACAAGCTACACCCATTCCACCCATTAGTACTACGAACACGCCGCCCACGTTAGCCAGACCCAATTCATTGGCTGCGCTATTGGACTTAGAAGTATCGTCCTAGAAAACGATTTAATTTAATTCTAATAAAAAGTTCTAACATTTATATTTTCATATAATTACCCGACAAGCTCCACCGCCTCTTTTTTCTTTCCACCATTTTGTTTTTAGTTTATGTAGTTTACCGATTTCCTGAAGTTTTAACACTGCCCCGCTAATCGCTGTTCTATATGGAGAATCTAACAAGCAAATACACTAAAATAAATAATTTTAATTTATACTATTTATAGACTGACATAGGTACCTATACAACCGATCAATATAATATACTCACTCGGGGGCATCGCTATTCCGTAACCTTTTGAATCCAAAAGCCCTCCGACTTGAGTGAGCTCGCAATTTCTCTCGATCACGTACTCAATACTAGTGGATTCCATTAAAAACGCATAATTTCCTTTCCCTTTTACAACTCTTTCCACGCCTTCGTTGTTAGAAGACATGAACACACTTGGTCGTGACGATTCCATAAACGACCACATCCTTTGSTAAGTAATGAAATTTGAGTCCTTGAAATTAACAATATGGTAAATTACAAATCGTCAATCGATGTTTTTGTTACGAAAAATATTACTCTGAAAAATCCAGCAGTCGAACCACCTCGAAGTGCGCCGTATTTTATTTTCGTCTGTTTAGCAAGGTCTTCGGCGCTTTCGATCGGCGAGTCCATTCTTTCCACAGTTAAAAACGCCGCCAAGTTAGCGGTATACGACGAGATCATGATTAACGTAAAAAACCACCACATRCCGGCCACTATTCTGGTGGAAACGGCCCTGCGATTAAATGATACGATGAGTGTAAACAATGTTATAATAATCAATTTTTTGGACGAACGAAAAGCCGTGCACTTATAATTAATCGAAAAACGCTTGTCGGAGACTACTGCTGCTGGATGTAGGTGAATACGAAAAGAATTAATGTACAACATAAAAAATAAAATGATAAATGCAGTGGAGATCGGCCCTCTGAGCCACGGCGAAGGAGCTAGCTGGGTACGTTTGCATGCGAACATAAAATACTTACTTAGGAGCCATATCAGATCCTTGTTGCATCAGAGAGCCGATCGTAAACCACAGTGAATTGTTCAAGGAAAACTTGTTTTCAAAAACATCTGGAGCTTCGGAGTTGCAAGGATGTGGATTTTCCCATTCATACGGACTAAACCTAAACACAAAACGTGCAAACACACTACAGGAGCTATTTAATATAATAGATTCGTCGTCATTCGTGTATCATGATGTTATACTTATATACTCCATGTATATACTTAGTGTGTGGTAATAATAACGGGTGTTTATGATTGCTAATTCTACCTAYACGCTAACAGCGATGCGTCCAATGCAATATAAAAATAAATATGTGACAGTGCAGTATCTAAGTATATAATATATATCTATATGTATCATATACATAGGTACTCCGTTCGAAGTTTTCTTACTTGGGAAGTATATCGCAGCCCTGTTGCATCAAAGACCCGAACGCAAACCACATACAGTTCATGAGGGAGAACTGATTTTCTAGATTATCCGGATCTGGGTTACACGGATGGGGATTGTACCATTCGTAAGGGGTGAATCTTTTGTCCATCAAAATCACATTTCACATTTTATAATTATACATTTATGACTAATATTATATTTGTTCCATTAAGTAAAAGATATAAATATCATTAAGTAAAAGATATAAATATTTAAATTGTATTGTTATAGACATTTAAACTTGTAACACACTATTTTACTGTCAGTGGCGTAGCCAAGAGTTGGGGGAGCAAAGAAACCATGGCCTCCCTATCAGCGTATTTCTGAATTTGACAATATAGAAAAATAAATACTGACCACTTTTATACAAAAAAAAAAAATCCTAGAAGAATGTGAGTTTTAGTTTTGGCTTGAACACAATAATATATTATAATTTAAAAGCACCTGATTAAGACGTAAAAGTTGTTTGTAATAAATGGATATAAACACTAAGCCGTTAAAATTTTTATTAATTACAGTTAGACATATTATTTAATATTATAAATTATAGGACATATAATAAAGTATGRAATTTGTCTGAAGTAATGCAGGTGCAATGCTAATTTTGTAAGGTTTTTATTGCCTTCTCCCCATGTTTCGCTTCAGAAATCCTAGCAACGCCACTGATTATTATTATGCATCTATAGAACGCCAGTCCGAAATGAAATCTGATGATGTTAATTATAATAATGATGATTAAAGTATACGCATTATACCTGGCTAATATGTAGAGAAGAACGGATACGCCGAGATACGCCGTGGCCATGTATATCCACACGTCCAACGACAGTGGTGACAAAAACGAAAATAGGTTCGGTGGTTGTTTGATTGGTTTCCGGTACAGAATGCTTATGCCTGCGATTGTTCCAAGAATAAAATATTCATTAATAACATGTGTATGCAGATATAGTTGAGGTAATTGCAAGCGGTCTCCRAACATTTTTACTTGAGGGTCATAGAAAAATTTAAAGGCCAAAACGTAATAATTATTACACATTGTTTATAAAGTATTTTAAACGTACTTAAAAATAAATTACTATACTTATGTTGAACATTGAATGTAAAACAATAATATGTAAATTATGATTCATAAAAATAAGCGAGATGGCCGARATGTTTATATTTTATTTTATTTTTATTTATTCTTCAAGAAAATAATGGGTCCCACTGAACATGTTCGTGTRGGGGTCCATGAGTTCACAATTTTTAATATCAATTCATTAAACGTTTAAAATAAATTAAATAATAAAAAAAATGAATGTAAAAGCCCATATGAATGGGTTGTTCATTTTTGGATAATTCACTACATTTAGCGAGACAGAAAAAACATGTCCACGGTCAGTAGTTTGGAGACACCTGCTACTGCACAACGTTATACATTATAATATGATGTCGTTCATTGGCTATTGAGGTACAAAAAAAAACATTTACCGAGGTTCATAAATGGCATAGTAAAATCGACTGCTTGTTCGCGGTCGTATGTAATGGTTAGATCAGCCACCACTAAATCCGCTCTCTGAAACATTTTATAGGAACCTAATTGTGGTATATATATATGTTAATTTGATTATATTTTATATATTTAAATAAAATACTAATAGAAAGTTTTAAAAATAATAATAATATTTTTATAATCTATGATATTTTAACCGATTATTTACACGATAAATTAATTTACCATACCCGTTAAATTATTAAAAATAACCGATTACGATAATCAAATATAAGAATGACCGTACCGATATTCGGAGTAGATGTACACAAAACACGTTTTGGTAAATAATGTTAACAGAGTTTTTAACAGGTGTTGTGTGCAGAAACTCTCTAATATAAAAACAATAATATTTTAATAAAATAAGTTGATATGTGATATCTACTTCTAGCTCCCGWCTGGATGATTATTACGTAAAATATAATATTATCATAACTGCGCAGTAAAATCGATCATTTTTAATATTATTCAGACGAGACAAACCTGTTGCAAAAGCTCTCCCATCATCCCGTCCCATTCCTTGGTGTCCTCATTATAAGAACCGTAACGGCCGTCTGGCACAAGTTTCAACGTATAGTTAAAGCCCAACAATTTTGATATTTCGTATATCAAATCGATTGCGTATCCTTCAAATTGATCGTTGCCCACTAGTTTTTGGCTGGATTCGCGGCGCATTGTGTACGGTGAACTCTGCAAAATATACAGATGATCAACGGTTAGAACGGTTAAATGTATAATGTGTGAGCTTTGTTCGTTCTGTGCAAAAGTTATGATTATTAGTATGAAAATTATGGACTAAAAGAGATTTCTAGAACTCTTCATTGCTTTGAACTTTAAGAAGTTATAACAGATTGAAATTCCAGAAAAATGTAATCATTTGTGTCTATATATATAATTGGAACGCTCAATCAGGTTAGAAATAATCGAGTTTGATTGAAGATTGATTTGTATTATTTTAAGTATAAACAATATTTTATTACTATCCTAAAAACTTATAAAAGTTTAAAAAAGTYTGAATAAGATTCAAGTTTACGTTCAAACATTTTGAGAATAAAATCAAAAACGTCATCCCTAATATAAACTATATAATAATATATATCATATGAAAATACTAGCCAGGATCAAAGTGACGACCAACGTCTTATTGTGCAGATTGTCGACGATACTAGAATACGCTTCGACAAAAGACCTCGTGAAGTTAATCCCTTGACTGGAGTTCCAAGTGCCGATCTTAGACAGCCCCTCTTTGTTCACTTCCACCACGTCCAATTCAAAGTCCGTCCTAAACCCTTGGTTGTCGAACTTTATGACGCCGGTCAGACCACTTATTTCTACCTATAAGTATGGCGGATACGACGACAAAATGATAAAACATGAAACAAACGTAGGTACACATATTATTTATTAGGTACTCGGCGACGATCATGAAATATTGTACATAATATTTCGTATTTTTGGCATTACTATTTTCATATAATTTATTAAACTATATCCATGGGACCATGTATCAGAAGCGTCGCAACTCAATGGTTTTATATCAATCTTTTGGCTGCTGTCCAGGTCGTGGAGTGCTCTGGCGAATAGATGGACGGCGTCGTAAATTAAAGCAGTTTCCGTCTAAACAGACAAATGTTATGTCGTTTAAGGTATAAATATTGCAATACGCCATAATACGCATAATACACATTTATAAACGACCGTTCATTTTTCTTACCGACATGACGGTGAAATTTTCTCCCTGCAACAATATAGTTGAATCAAAAACATGATAATATGATGAATATGAATGCTTTATTTAGGTATATGCACTGTGTGCCATGTGCAAATAGGTTTTCTCCGAATAATGTAATTTTTGGTGAATATTTTTACTCGTGAGTAAATCAAAAAACCCATTAACTAAAGTGACGGCCTTTTATAGAAAATTACCTCATTTTAAAATCAATTGTCAACGCGTTGTATGATTACAGTATGTTTAATATAATACGGTGTAAACACATAACGATACAAACGGAGTGATTCATTTGTGATTAGATACTCATTACTTTAGAAAATACTCTTTATTTTTTTTTAAATATTTCTTTTACATAATATTWAGTATTATTAAGTACAACAATTTATATACTTTATAATTTTTCACCATTATAACTTTTAAATTTTTTACTCTTTTGAATGGCAACTTTAATTTCATATTCTGAAGCAGAATATTMTTCGGAGWATATCTAAATAATACAAAAAAAACTCAAATTTCAAACWAGTGATTTATTAGTTATGAGTATTTATTACTAATCTAAGCGGAGTATCTACTACTTTGACACTTCACACTCCATAGTCCACACCAGTTATCTAAACATTCTAAACTTTGAAATTTAAATATACTTATAGGTCAAAATATTTCAAAAGTATAAAATAAAATTATTATTTATCGAAGTAGTKCAAAAAATATTCTGCTATGGATAAAAAATTGAAAAGCAGGTTGTCATTATAAAAGTTAAAAAAAATATTTTCAATAAAGTTAATATTATGTTAAAGTTCTTATAATATGTTAAATGATTCATCCAGTATATATCAATGTATAAAGTAACTATCGTAATATAAAGTTATAAACAAACCGTTAAATGTACTTAATCGTAAAATTAATATTATTATTATTATTATTATTATTATTATTATTAATGAATAATGGCGAGCATTCGGTTATGATGGAAGTGGTTCATTAATGAAAGCAATTAATTCAACGCAATTGACTGTAAAAGTACCAATACATCAATATTATATGTTATATATTATACGCGTGTGTAAAACTTCGTCAGTCCATGATGGTGCCATATGGCAGAACACACAATATCGAACTATATTATTGTATAAAATGAAAAATACTTCACAAATTATAATATTATGTTTCTTTTCCCGGGTTGTTTTTTTTTTTTTTTTTTTGCTGAATATATCGGATAATATAAAAAAATATGTATTTACGGTAAACCCTATAGTCTATACGATGTTTGGTTTCATAAGTAATTATATTTTCGAGACTAGATAAATACCTATATGTTTTAATTTGCAACAAAAGCTACATATAAATTATAACTATAAACTATCACTGGAATCCTATACATATAACACATATGAATATATTATGATATCTTATAATATTATTTATACGACAATAATACAATGTACTTATGTACCTATAAWWATATTATTACACTGCAATATTTTGTAACTMTAAATACTTTTCTTTTAGTAATAAAATCATTTTTAATAATTATTATATTTATCGTGTTTATAGATGAACACGAGTGGGTTTAATTCGATTCCAAACGATTTCACTTTTGAGAACACAGATGCGAAAATATTTATTGGGTATATCAAAAAAATCCCATAATTATTGCGGTATAATTTCGTCCTAAATATGCTTCAATGCTGTCAATTTTATAATTATCTACACCATTTTCAAAATAATACAATCAAAAGAAATGTTTTTTTTCATAAGTTCTAGAAATATTACAGAAACAGTATTAATTATTAATATACCAATCAGTTTGTATTCAAATATAATATAATGATTAATAATACTATACGATGTAATCGTATTATATGAATTATATATATATATCTATTCATTGTATAGTTAATTTGTATGGAATGTATATGTGATTTTATATTGTGAATAATTTCTTCGAAAAAATTAAATCTTAACTTTAACTTCAAATTTAAAAATGTCAAGCAAAAACTATAAAAATGATTCGGTTACCAATTTGGAAAATGTGTAAATGAATACAAAATAGGAATTAATCAATTAACAGAACCAATTAATTTATTATTAGCTATTGTTCTAGGTATACATATTTTCAAGTTATATTAGTCGATAAGTCATAAAAATAAAAACTTAATATTTTGATTGTTCTTAATATGCATACGTCATACATAGTAATAACATGGATTATAATATATACTTTTATATATAGGGAGTGGGTTAAATCGTTTCATTKATTATTTCGACAAAATACTACAATATTCGGATATAAAGGTGATAAGTAAATATTAATGCCTAGTTTATATTATATTATGTTAAACGATAAAACGACAAAGCAGTGGACTCACCCATTGTTTCAGCACTTTTTGCACTACTGGTGTATCGGGATTGACTAACCGGAAACCTGTGATGTTTGTACCGCCGTATTTAAATTCGTCCAGATCGATCGTATGAAGATCCTAAAAATTCAAAATTATAGCTATAATACACAGCGTACATTAAATACAGAATAGGTAATTATTTTTGTATCGCAAACCCAGTAATATTGTAAGAAATTTTTACAAGGAATTTTCTAAAAGCTACAGAAGATAAATACTATTTTACATAATATCTTATCAGTATTTGTTTCCAAAAATAAAAGTTTAAAAACCCTTGTATTTTCTAAGATTTTTCTTGGTTMACGATAAAAAAAAAATCATCCTGTTTATTATATMGACAGGTAAATTCACCAGCGACGTGATCAGATAGCTGTGATAGTCGCTCATCATTCCAATTTGTTGTGCTTGTTTCAACACGTCATATATTTTTTCGGTGGAACAGTCTAGTATGACGTGCGATTCTGCCGAATTTTTTATCTGCTTCAACAGTGGCCTGCGCGTAAACAGAATCATTCATTTTTTCAATCAATATTCGATTCAATATATATATATATATATAATAAACATATATAACCGGCCGGAACACGGGAAGGAACGATATTATACAATATATAAACATCAAATGACACAGGGTGTACAAACAAAAAACTTGTATGAAAATAAATCTAACATTTTCACTTTCCCGCATTAATTTTTTTGATTAAAATCAAAATTAAATTGTTATAAATAAAAAAATTGGTCTTTGCTCATTACTCATTAGATATGGAAATATTTCGAAAAAAATATAACTATTGTATTTATTTGTTCACAAGCATTTTATGAATGACTATGCATGGCGAATCATCAGTCTATTTTGTTAATATTTAAGTATACTGACTACTACTTAACATTAAATTAATATGCCTATCTATAATATACAGATGTCGTTATAATGTGCAATACATTGATATTAGATTTTCCAAAAAATGGCACATATAGATCCTCCTTAGACTTAGTATTGTAGGTAATATGAATAATAACTAATGACTAATGTGTTTTCTAAAAGAATAATATTATATACAGTTATACCTATTATTAGTTAATATTTATAATTTATTTTAACAATTACATTTGAAACAAAAGACTCTTTAAGAATGTAACACCTAAGACCATGCCCTTTCATCTTCACTCTCACACCTAAATACGTCTTTGGCTTTTAAAATGTTCACCTGTGATCTCGGCCGGAGCCCAACTGGCGGATCGTGATCGGATACGCCGAAAGTGCGCCGTTCCTGGCTTTCAACAGTTCTTGCAGCCTAACCAGACCTTCGTTGCTCTCGTATATTATTGTGAACGACTTCCAACCCCATTTTTTCACCAAATCCAAGTACGCCTATATATGACAAGGCGTAATGTGTCGAAATAAATGTTGTGAACCATACATGATATTATTTAACATTATACATTTATAAATGATATTATGATGATTCGTTCGTACAATAAATCATAATATAAATATGCCATATACATACAATAATAACGATATATTATGATATTATATATAATATACACGTTACCTTGGACAATACGGTCGGATGCGGATACAGATTGACCAAGCAACTCTCGCGCCGCAGCTTGTAGTCCCATCGCGTTTCCAAATGTGGTATTTCCATTGTGTCGCAAATGGACTGGACGTGACTGGATATCTGAGCGGACTGCGGCCCGAAAACTGCGGCGACGCCAAGCCGGAGTAAACTGCACACTACAAC